GCGAAGCAGAACTGTACCATCAAAGCACTTCATTAGCGAAAGACTTGCCCATGTAATGCAGAATCGATCATGAGTTCGTTGGCCTTCCACCAGGAGCTTTTTGATGTCCTGCATGGGTGTGTGCCCTCTGTCTCAGCCCATCATCATCAGCATCATCATCGTGCTCATCATCATCATCATCATCCTCACCGTCATCATCATCTCCTTCCGTAGACATTGTTTGTCAAGCCCAGAGGCCCTAACCACGCAGGACGCGCGCTCATGTCCCGAGGTTGGCAGAGTACGGCAGGCGGTGCTTCACAGCCCACCTTGGCACCAGGTGATTCTGCACAGCCCATCCTGTCTGCTTTGCCTGACGACGCATCCGAGTTGACGGTAGCTTTCTACAACGCGGGCATCCAATTGTCGCAAATTGACACGGATCCGCAACATGCTCGCCGACAGTGCGATATCGCTTGTCGCTATCTACGCCGACGGACATTACGCGACTCTCATCCTGTCCGATCGGGTGCAGGTCCTTCAGTACCAGATCATCGAAAACATATTGCGCAGCCGGCCGGATCGGTGCTTCCAACATTTCCGTGTTCGCACGACCGAGCGCGCCGAGCCCATATCCATCGTCAATTGCCCCCGCGCCTTCCTCGAGAAAGCGATCGCTGACGTTGACGGGGCGTCTTCTGTACTTCACTGCATTTCATCGGGCATGCGCCGGTGACCCGTTCATCTGGGGGGGCGACTTCAACGCGGGGCTCATGCAGCTCACCGCCATTCTCGGGTGGATTGATAATCGCTACAACATGAATTCCGGTGCTTCACAGCCTGGTTCATTGAGATTTGTGTTCTCCCATCCGCTACAAGCCAAGCACGGCGACTTCGCTTTGACATTCGGCTTCTGCAGTGCTCAGGTGAATTCCGGGATTGGGGCCTCATTCAATGGGGCGAGTGACGTTCATGATGTCGTAATCGCCAAAGCGTTTCGACACGCGAGCCGGGCGCCCATGCCAGAGCCTGAAGCCAGCTCTTCAAGCAGCGCTGCGCAACCTTATCGGCAGGAGCCCGCTGGCAATGCAGCGCCGCCACTCCCCCAGCAATCCTCGGCACTCCATGGCGTAGATCGGCCAGAGTGGCCGATGCCCGCGCGCCCGGCGCCCAGGCCAGAGGCTGAAGCCAGCTCTGCCAGCAGCCCTGCACAGCCTGCTCGGCAGGAACCCGCCGCCAGCGCGGAGCCGCCGCCCCCACAGCAATCCTCGGCGCTGCATGGCGCAGATCGTCCGGGGTGGCCGATGCCCACGCGCCCGGCGCCGCTGCCAAAGGCTGAAGCCACCTTGCGAGCAGCGCTGCGCAGCCTGCCCGGCATGAGCCCGCCGGCAGCGCGGGGCCGCCGCCCGTCCAGCAATCCTCGGCACTGCATGCCGCAGGGTGGCTCAACCCGCGCTACCACCGAGTCAACGCGATCTTCGGCACTGGCGACGCCAGAATGGCGCCGCTGGAAGAGGTGCTGGAGCAGATCGGCAGCCAGTTCCTCCACGGGCAACTGGCCAACATCGTGGCATCGTCAACGGGATGCTACGAAATGGCGACTGATCTATACATCGTCGACAAGCTGGAACGTTTTTTGGAGATCATCCAGGAGCAGCGCTCCAACCATCTGCAACGGCATCCGTCACTAACCCCCGACGCCGCGTTCAGCCCCGAGCACGTGCAACAGATTCACCACGCGTGGATGGAGGACCACGAAAGCTGGATGAATGAACAAACCTTTCACAACTACAACTGGTGGTCTGATGGAACGGGCAAAAGCAACCGCCAAAGGGCTCATCAGTTACGCCGTAGTGCCTTTTTCGGCGCTTCTCTTCCAGATCGTCGGCAACAATCACGTGGTGCTGGCGTCCGTTCAGCATCCGACACGCAGTGCTGAACAGCCCTCTCAGGCGATCCAGCGCTTCATGTGCGCATGGGAGGAAGAGAAGTCTTCCGACGAGCACAAGAAGAGGATGCACATCTCCGAAGCCCTGACGAAGGAACGAAGAGCTGGGGAAAAAACGCTGCCCACGCAGCTCGCCAGCGTTCGCGACGCGTGTGACGCTGCTTTCGGGTGGAACAAGGAGACGCGGGCCGCCGCGGGCAGTGCGGCCAGCAGAATCGGGCGATGAGTCCGTCACTTTCCACGGTGCTGCACAGCCCGTGTCTCTTGGGTGCTGCACGACCCGTGCTGTGCAGGTGCTGTAGGCCTGCCCGTGTCTCTATGTGCTTCTCATGGAGGCCTGTCTCTTTCCACGGTGCTGCAAAGCCCGTGTTGCGCAGTCCCCGTGCTGCACAGCCCGAGCAGTCTTCTGTATAGCTGCGGTCTAGCCGGTGCATGGATTGACGCGCGGACGCCGAGGCAAATGAGCTGATAACATACACACATGCATACATACATACATACATACATACATACATACATACATACATACATATATATACACCTATACACCTATACATATATACATATATACATGCATACATACATACATGCGTACATACATACGTACGTGATATCACACACGTACATACATGATAATGTTTATGCACCACCTTCTTGCCCCAGGCTGTTCCCCCGGCAGTGGAAAACGCCCCGGGCGGTTCCCCGGGCATCCGCTCCGCGGTTCCCCCAGTGACGTTCCCTTAGTTTAGCGTTGCTAATCTCATCTTAGCTTATCTTATTTCATCTTAGCTTAGCTTCATCTTAGCTTAAGCTCCATATAGATGATAGATGTTGCTTTCCTAGATCCTCCAACTCGTAGGTAGGGTCGCACTGGGATAATCTGATTCAAAATTATTGTTCATGCCTTCGCGCGGCGCACATTCGTTCTGAGAAGTTGCAAAAGATTCACGGATTCACCAGATACTGCGTTCTGGAGCGATTCAGGGCTGTCAAGGCGCAGCAGTTACGTTGATTCCTCCCACCACCCGGCCCCCTGGCTTCCCGCCTGCGCGTTCGCCGTCGTCTTCTTCCTTCGCCTTCCCTTTCTCCCGGCCCATCGCAGCGCAGCATAGACCGCGGGAGCCGGCGGCGGAACGCCACAGCTTCGAGCAGAGTGCGCGTGTGCCAGGCAAGCCTCTGGGGCATTGGAGCTGGAGCGCCACCCGCCCCCACATCCGAGTGCAGGCAGGGTTCCCAGGGTCTCCCGCCAGAGTGCTTCGCACGGCATCGTGCCGCTGAGCGCCGAGCCAGGGGAGGAACGGGAGGAGGCTGCCGACGCCGCTGCCCTTCCCCGTTTTCGCATTCGTGGGCCTCCTGGGCGGGGTGCCCTCGTCGCCACGGCTGGATTCGCCTCGGAGTCCCGGTCGGAACGCACCGACCTCGGGAGAGGTTTGGGGAGCATCGGCACTGTTTCGTTTGTTCTCCCATGCCTATCTCGACTCGATCGATCCGGTTCGAGACCGACTCCGCCCAGCTCGATCCGGTTCGGTTTCGATTTTCGGACGATCCGATGCGGCATGATGTTTGCACGGCTCAGCTGTTTCCTGGCGCGGCTGGTTCGATTTGAGTTCGACTCCGTGCCGATGCGGTCCGATCCGACGCGCGTTCCGATACGATCCGGCTTCCCGATACGATGCCATGCTGACTGATCTTGCGACCTGTCCCCCCGCTCGCGGCACCACCTCCTTCCACGTCCTCGTTGGGCTCGGCTGGGTCGGGCCGAGGGTCGGGCGAGCCTGGGCTGTTCTGGGCTGGGGCGGACGCATGCTGGGGGGGGACATCGGGCGGGGCCAGGTCCAGGATGCATCCGGTCCAGACCGTCCCAGGGCGCTCTCAGAGCGGAACGTTCAGAAGTCCGCGGCACCCGAGAGATCCCCCAGAGCCGCCAGATCCAGGAGCTTCTCGATTTACCTTCACCCGGTTTTATCCTCGTCCTGGCTTCGTCTTAGGGGGGGAACTCCCCCGTCCACAGGTGGCCCCCTTGTCGGATCGGACGCAGGGCCACGAAATTCTTCGTATGTGCAGCTGGTTTCGGCCCATAGGCGCCCGCTGGCGCCTGGAGGGGCCGGGAAGACCAACTACGTGAGCTCTTTCGCCCCTTTCCTTGAGGAGGAGGAGGAGGAGGAGGAGGAGGAGAAGGAGGAGGGGGAGGAGGAGGAGGAGGAGGAGGAGTTGTCTTCACTACCCCCCTCCGTCCGACCCGACTTTTCCTTCGTTTTCCAGGGACTGGTTGAAGGCTGCCCAGAGGTCGGGCAGAGATCTTTGTCGAGAGGGCTTCGGCGAGAGCCCTCTCCCGTGCTCTTTGCGTGTGAAACCGTTTTCTCCTTTGCGGTTTGAGTTGTTGGCCGGCGGTTGAGGCGGACAGCCCCAGTGGGGGAACATTGCATGTATCCCGACGTCCTCAGAGCTGATCGAGCTGATCGGTTCAATCCGCAGCCCCAGAGCTCCCGACCCCTTCCCTTCGGGCAGTTTTGCGCCCTGGCGGCGCCGGGGGCGTCGCCAGGGGGGCCCTAGCGCCGATCCAAGGTATCCGCGCGGACATCCAGAAGCCTATGCTTATGCCGCTCGTTGTCTCTACGGATAGGAATTTTGGCTTAGCGAGTCGCGCTTGACCCAGCACACATCGGCGCGCCACGCTAACCACACACTTCCCGGCTCGCTAACGTCAACATCCTGAGCTTTTCCCAGCATGCCGCCCCAGGGAACGGAGCGACACGCCGTCCGCTTGCTAGGCACAGGGTGTTGCCTGGTCCGCCGCCGCGACAAGCTGCCCAAAAGTTCTTCACCGCTCTCTGCGTTTGCTAATGGCTGTGTGTGGGGGGGGGGCACCCCCGTCGACTGCCCTAAATCGACCCGCGTCGCAGGCAAACGTCGCCGCGCCAAACACGACCCCCCCCTTCCCCGCAGTGCGCCGACACGGGGCGAATCTGACCCCCGTCGCGCCTCGCGAACAGCTTGACGTTGGCACTCGTCGGGGGGAGCCCGTCCTTCTTCCCCCTCCCCGCGTCCTCCTCTTCCCTTGGGCCCCGCGGAGGCGAGGGCATGGGCGTGCTGCAGGCCATTAACAAGCTGGACGGCACCCCCTTCACGCACGTGGACGAGATCTTGCTAGAGAACCTCGCGGATACCCCCACCGACGACGCCGACCCTCTTTCTCTTCCTGTCCCCCCCTCCGCAGAGACGAGACTCAACCATTACGCAACATGAGTACTACTTCCTTCTCTACCCCGAAGATGTGTTGAGAGTATCCCGCCTTCTCCATGCATTGTTTCTCACATTGGTTTTCAAGATTTATGATTCCTCTCGCTTCGCGGGGTGCGCTCTTGGGGGTCCTCTTGGGGCTTCTTGGGAGCTGTTTTGCACCCTCTTGGGGCCTTCTTGGACCGTCTTGGGGTAGTATTGGCCCGTCTTGAGTCCATGTTGAGCTGTGTTGACGCACTCTTACTGCCCCAAGAGGCCCCAGGGACACAAATCATGTATTTTCCATTGGTTGTTGTAGGTTTTGCAGCCCGAAAGGATTCCCGTCACGCTTTGGTCGTTGGAAGTGGCGCGATTCCAGGGGGGGTAGGGGCGATACATAATATTGCAAAAAGATATACCAGATAGAAGTTGTGTAATCATTGGATACAGTGGATCCATCCTCCGGCAACACGTCACTTCCGGACGTGGATTCCTCTCGTTTCGCCGGGTGCACGTCTGGAGCACGTGCAGTCCAGACGTTGTGGGGCTTAGTGGTATCGGTGTCGCCCCCCTCCTTTCCCCTCCCCCGCCCTCCCTGGTCCTCTTGCTCCTGCTCATTCCGCTCCAGCTCCTGCTGCTGAGGTCCGTCCTCGTCCTCCTTTCTTTTTTGCTCCTTGCTCATCCTCATGCTCGTCTGCCACCTCCTCCAATGTACGCAGCTCCGATTTTCCGATTACGTACATCACAATGAGGTCCTGTTTGGAGTTGCAGGTCCGCTATGACACGGGTCGGCGGATTGACAAGACATCATGACAATGGGAAGGGGTGGCTGGGAGGGGTAGGGTGTCAGATATGGCGCGAGTCCACCTGGTTTAATTCCCCTCTCTTGGATGCATATCCTTGGAGGTCAAGTTCAGCATCGGCTCTTTTACATCCGCGGTCGGAAATCAGCATAAACCAGTTTAAGGCTGCTTCATCCAGGTTCATTCTGGCCTAATGTAGCTAAATGGCCCCCAGTTGGGCCCAATAGGCCCCGATCGTTTCCACGAGTTCCTCCCAGAGGTGCCCCTCCTCAGCCTTCGTCTTCTGATTCACATTATTCTCAGCTTCCTCATTACCCCACCCCGCTCCCCCGGCGCGTGCGCGCTCGCGCGCGCCCCGCCCAGGCCACCCAGCAGGAGGGGGAGCCGGAGGAGGACGACGAGGAATGTTGAGCAAGAAGAGGGAGAGGAAGAGCGCGGGGATATTTCTGGGAGGAGGAAGAGGCGGATGGAAGTGTTGCTCCCGTCCCAGATCTTGAATCCCAGAGGTTCCCCGGAGGCCTAGAGGACGGGGGGGGAGGAGGTACATGAGGAGGAGTCCCGTTCTCAGAGCGATGGGGGGCAAAGATCGACGACCTGGCTTCCTTGGCGCGGGGAGTGTTGAAGACAGGGGGAATGGGATGCAGGATACGGGGGATGCCATCTGGAGTAGGGGGGCGATGAGAGGATCCTTCCCCCCTCCTCTTTCTGCCTCCTCCTCTTGATGCCGTTCCTGCGCCGCCTCCGTGACACATGAAATTGCCTCGCTGCCCGAGTCCAGGTTTTTGCTGTCGCGGCGCGGTTTGCCGACGGTTTGCCGTCCGGGTGTCTCCGAATTCGGTGATCTTCGCGGCTCTCTGGCCTCCTCCCTCCTCGATTCTTCCGGTCCTAATTTCTTCTCCTGTGGGGGGGTGCCTGGAGCGGTCCCGTGGGGGGTCCAGGGAGGGTTTCGAGGAGAGGGTCCTGGGGGCGGTAGCGGCTAGATCTGAGGGGTGTCTTTGGGACCCCCCGAAACATCTTGGGGATGCGCAAGTCATGAAGAAAACGCCAAATGGGGGACCCCCCCCCCGCCCTCCCCCCGGGGTCCGGATGCGCAAATCATGAAGAACACGCCAGGTGGGGAACCGCCCCCTCCCCTCCTGCCCCCCATTCCTGGCAGAGCCACCCCTGCGACCCCCCCCAAGCAGAGCTGAAGCTCTTCCTTAGGCTCAGAGCTGAAGTTCTTGCTGAGGCTCCTTGTAGTTCACACGCCGGATCGGCGGATTTGTCAGAAGAGGACATGGAATGGGGGAGACGCACGTAGATGGCCTGGGCCCGTGGGCGATGAACGGGCCGCAGTGCTGTTTCCTTTTGTGGCCTTTGAGTCGGGGATCTGCTGCGCAGCCGGCCCCGAGGAGAAGAGCGACGCCGGCGACGACGACGATTGCGCCGATGCCAACGACGACGACCTAGACGAGGCGCGCGTACGGTCGTCACCAAAACACAGCGTTGGGAGGGAGCTAGAAGAAGAGAAGGAGGAGGTAAGTTGTGTTCCCGCCCCAGATCCTGACCCACGCGAAACTGCATTCAAGGTCAGAACCTTGTACATACAGTCGGCCCGGATTAGTAGGTCGACCCTCCCAAGTCAAGGGTACCCTTGTATCCTGTATCTCGCGACCCGTGCTTCCTGCATTCCTACGGCAATGTGTCCCTTGGAAGGGTCTCGTGTCCTCTCGCACGTCCTCTCCAATCAAGTCCGACTGTATGATGCTACAGCTGCACGGATTGAGAGTGGCTGTTTTTCAATCGGGCGTTCACGTGATACATACCCGGCGCTCATCATGGCCATAAGTGAGACCTTGTGCAATGCTCACACTCAGATGAGGGCGGTGTTGGACACCTCGTTACACTGTATCGAATTGCATTCGTTACTGCTCGCTGGAATAAGGCAAGCCAGGTAGTTCCTTTTCAACGCAGTGTGTTCCTTTTTATTGCAGGCCCTTTGTGCGTTGGTTTTTCAGGGGGGGGCTTCTTGAAGTGAGAAGGAAAGCTTGCAGTTACTTGTGAGGATGGGACTTGGGACGGGAGAGTGTATTGCAGCGTCGTTGATGCATCCTGGGTTTACTGTGATTTTTGTCCTCCTCCTCGTTGTCATCGTGCGGCCCCCCGTGATCCTGACGAGTTTTGCCCTCGAGCCTCGCGGGTCTAGGGGCGGAATGGCGTTTGAGTTCAAGCAAGGCTCAGAGCGAAAACCCAATTTTGCAATGACCCTGCCCGCCGCTGCGGAAGTTGAAAACGAATGTGCGCGGCGCTCAGACGAGAGGTCCGTTCCGAATTGAAACCGCCCGCTGTCCCTGAAATTGTTCGGAGTTTGAAATGAACTGCGCGCGGCGCTAAGCCGTGAGCCCCATGTTGGAAAGGAGACGCTTGATTGGCGCTGTTGTAATCTTTTGCCACCACCGTGCGCGGCGCTGAGGCGAGAGTTCCACTTTGAAAACGGCCCGCCCTCCATCCTCGAAGCGGTCGCACGTGCCAAGTTTCAGGATCATATTTGGGTATGTCCCAAGCGAAAGACCCGGCCCGCCCTACCAACATGTCTGGGCGTGCGACCAGAGGCCTTTTTTGTAAGAGCAAGGGATGGAGGAGGAGGAGGATGAGGAGGAGGAGGAGGAGGAGGAGGAAGCCAGACGGGGCTAGGACGAGGAAAAATCAGTTCCAGAGCGCTCTGGAACGCTCTCAGGGCGTTCCGGGATGCTCTGAGAAGGCCGCGTCGCCCGAGACATCCTTCAGAGCCGTTGGATCTCAAATATTCTCGATATATATCTTCGCCCCGAAGGATCCTCGTCCTGGCTTCGTCTTAGGAGCAGGAGGACGACATAAGACCGACCACGACCACGCCCACGACCACCGCGGCGACGAGTGCGACGAGGATTCGGCAGCGCTCAGCTGCCCCCTCCCCACCGCGTCGCTCGTAGCCTCCAGGGGGCGGCGCCGCGGGCCGCGCGCCACGGGCCCCTTCCCGCGCGCGCGCAGGCGCCGCGCCGCGAGGGCTGCAGATGGCCACCGGGCTCTGCCTCTGTGCGCCGCGCGCCGCGGCGGCGCCGCGGAGCACCGCCGCCGCTGGGCGACGTGGCGTCCGACGGCTGTGAGCCGAGCGGCGAGCTCGCAGCCAGGCCGCCAGGGGCAGCTCGCCAGGGGGGAAGCGGGTCCTGAGGGAAGCGGGTCCTGAGGCGTTTCGCCGATCTGCGGGCTCTCGGGGTCCTCCACGGGCTCCGCGGCTGTCAGAGAACGGTTCAGGATGAAGATCTCGTCCTGGGGGAAGGTCCCAGGTGTCCAGGGCCCGTTTCCCTCCGGACCCAATTGCCCCAGGCTGCGGCAGTTGGGGACGATCGAAATTGGTACGTGCGGAGAGGACGGGTACAAAGACCGACAACATGTCCTGATCATTTTGAACTGGGCTCGCTGTCGGTGTCGCCGCGGACGAGGTCCAGTTGAGACAGAAGGCCGCCTGCCCAACAGCGACCGCTGTCGGTTTTAGACCGCATTGCTCCTCACATGTTTCGTGGGGTTCTGGTTTTCATCCCTGCCGCGTCGCACCCGCGACCCTCACTCACCTCACCTCCTCCTCCTTCTCCTTCGCAACACAGCGCAGCAGAGCACAGCACAGCACTGCTCAGCACATTCCAGCTCAGCTCAGCACAGCACAGCACAACTCAGCTCAGCACAGCACAGCACAGGCCCAGGGCACAGCAGGCGTGGCATTCTCTCGGCCCCACAGGGGGTGCGCAAAAAGGGGGTCTCCCTATGCGCGCCTCCCGTCCAGGGCACAGCAGGCGTAGCAGTCTCTCGGCCCCATAAACGGGGTGCGCAGGGGGTGGTCTCCCTATGCGCGCCTCTCGTCCAGAGCACAGCAGGCGTGGCATTCCGTCGAGCCCAGAAAGGGGGTGCGCAGGGGGTGGTCCCGCTATGCGCGCCCCTCGTCTAGGGCACAACAGGCGTGGCATTCCCTCGGCCCCAGAAGGGGGCGCGCAGGGGGTGGTTTCCCCATGCGCGCCTCTCGTCCAAGGCACAGCAGGCGTGGTATTCTTTCGACCACACAGGGGTGGCGCAGGGGGGGGTCTCCCTGTGCGCGCCTGTCGTCCAGGGCACAGCAGGCGTGGCATTCTGTCGGCCCCATAGGGGTTACGCAGGGGTGGTCTCCCTATGCGCGCCTCTCGTCTCGGGCACAGCAGGCGTGGCATTCTCTCGCCCCCATTGGGGGTGCGCAGGGGGTGGTCTCCATATGCCCGCCTCTCGTCCAGGGCACAGCAGGCGTGGCATTCTGTCGACCCCATAAGGGGGTGCGCAGGGGGTGGTCTCGCTATGCGCGCCTCTCGTCTAGGGCCCAAGAGGCGTGGATTTCTCTCGACCCCATATGGGGGTGCGCAGGGGATGGTCCCGCTGTGCGCGCCTCTCGTCCAGAGCACAGCAAGCGTGGCATGCTCTCGACCCCATAGCGGGTGCGCAGGGGGTGGTCTCCCTATGCGCGCCTCTCGTCTAGGGCACAACAAGCGTGGCATTCTCTCGGCCCCATAGGGGATGCGCAGGGGGGGGTCTCCCTATGCGCGCCTCTCGTCCAGGGCACAGCAGGCGTGGCATTCTGTCGGCCCCATAGGGGGTGCGCAAGGGGTGGTTTTCCTATGCGCGCTTCTCGTCCAGGGCACAGCAGGCGTGGCATTCTCTCGGCCCCATAGGGGGTGCGCAGGGGGGGGTCTCCTTATGCGCGCCTCCGTCCAGGGCACAGCAAGCGTGGCATGCTCTCGATCCCGTAGCGGGTGCGCAGGGGGTGGTCTCCCTATGCGCGCCTCTCGTCTAGGGCACAGCAGGCGTGGCATTCTCTCGGCCCCATAGGGGGTGCGCAGGGGGTGGTCCCGCTATGCGCGCCTTTCGTCCAGGGGACCGCAGGCGTGGCATTCTCTCGACCCCACAAGGGGTGCGCAAAGGGGGGGTCTCCCTATGCGCGCCTCCCGTCCAGGGCACCGCAGGCGTGGCATTCTGTCGACCTCATAGGGAGTGCGCAGGGGGTGGTCCCGCTATGCGCGCCTCTCGTCCAAGGCACAGCAGGCGTGGCATGCTCTTGGCCCCATATGGGCTGCGCAGGGGGTGGTCTCCCTACGCGCGCCTCCCATTCAGGGCACAGCACGCGTGGCATTCTCTCGACCCCATAGGGATAAGGGGTGCGCAGGGGGTGGTCCCGCTGTGCGCGCTTCTCGTCCAGGGCACAGCAGGCTTGGCACGTTTTCGACCTCATGGGGGGTGCGCAGGGGGGGGTCTCGCTATGCGCGCCTCTCGTCTAGGGCACAGCAGGCGTGGCATTCCCTCGACCCCATAGGGGGTGCGCAGGGGGTGGTCCCGGTATGCGCGCCTCACGTCCAGGACACAGCAGGCGTGGCACTTTCTCGACTCCATATGGGGTGCGCAGGGGGTGGTCCCACTATGAGCGCCTCTCGACGGTAGCAGCAGGGTAGCGGCTGCGAGCGTTGTCCACGTGTTGCACTTCAGCTATGCGAACACAAGTGATTAAACGAAGTATGTGGGGTTCCTCGGTAGCGTAATCGTTGTTTTATATTGTGCCCATGTTTTGCGTACCCATTCTGGGCGTCCAAATCCGCGTCAGGGGGGACAGGCTCAGGGGGAAGGAAGAGGAGCGCGAATGGCGAGGGGTGGAGAGGATCCAGGATCGCTAGTCTATTCATTGTTCTTCGCGTTTGTAGGCCTCCTCGCCTGTGCTCAGGGGCAGCTGGGGATCTGCTCAGGTGGTGGCAACTATCGACCCCTAATTGCTCATCGATCGCCGATAAGGGGCTCGATGGTCCCAACCAGCCCAGCCAGGCGAGGTGGGAGCCGTCGGCGGTGAGCCGAGCGGCGAGCTCACCTCCAGGCCGCCAGGCAGCGTTAGTGGGGGGGGGGGGGGGGGAAATAGGAGGGGGAGGAAGGGGTTGGGGAGGATGGAGGTTTCGGATTCGGGTTTGAGTTTTTGTTGGACGGTTTCGTCGGTTCTCGGCTGTTTTCCAGCCTCGGGATGCCTTCCAGCAGCTACGCCTCGCCGAGGGCCTTGCGCCCATGCCTCCGAAGATCTCCCAAGTGGGGAGGTGATGTGGTCGAAGGATCGCTCCGCATCGCCAGAGCATCGACGATGCGGCTCGATTGGAGCCAGAATTTTTCCACGCCGATGGCGCAGCTGCATCGCCCGCGGTGAACCAAGCGGCGAGCCCACATCCAGGCCACCAGCTGCCGAGCCGGTAGCCCCCCCCGCGCAGCACTGAGGGGCCCAGGGCCCGGGGGCAACGGTAGGGGTTCGAGATCCGAGGTGCGAGGTTCGAGGTCGTTTTCGTTGGTTCTCAGGGTTTTCCAGCCTCGGGGTGCGTTCCACCCGCTGAGCCTCGCCGAATCCTTGCTGGGGGGTGCCTGGATCGTCCCGAACGGCCAACGGAGACCCGTGACCCAACAGCCAGGCGATCGCCTAGTGATCGCCGATAGGGATCCGATGGCCCCATCCGGCCCAGGAATGTCTGTTTGTGCTGTCGGGGGCATATGCTCCTCCTCCTGCTCCTCCTCCTTCTCCCTCCTCCCTCCTCCTCCCCCGTCCTCCTCCTCCTCCTCCCCTCCTCCTCCTCCTCCTCCTCCTCACCCTCTCCTCCTCCTCCTCCTCCTCCTCCTCCTCCTCCTCCTCCTCCTCCTCCTCCTCCGTTGCCATTTTTGCTCAAGATCGGGACAGGCCCGTTTTGAGTGAGGCAGCCCTCCTTCAGGGCTATCCAGCTTTCAGCAGCTGGCGGACATTCCTCCACCCCTCGTGTCATGGCCGATGGTGCCCCCCTCGCGTCCCAGGAGCTCCGCGAGCTCGCCGAGGCTGTCGACTCCGTGCCGACCTTCCCTAGTCAGGAGACTGCCCCGCGTGCCGCGGGCAAAGGGAAAGGTTCTCTCCGCTCTGGTGTTCGCAAGAGGCTTGCTGCTGATGTTCCTGTCGACCCTGGTTATGACGGACCTGCTGACATGGACGACGATGATTTCACCTCCGACGAATACCTCAGGCAGGTATGCCGTGAGGAGTTCCAGCTCATGCGTGGCACCATCACCTCTGAGGTCAGTAGCAGCGTGTCCAAGACGGTCGGTGAGAACCATACCACCTTCCTCACCATGCTCTCCGCCATGCAGGCTGAAGTCGCCAAGCAGGCCACCGCCGTCGAGCAGCAGGTGCAGTCTGCGCTGGCCCCGCGGCTCGATGCCGTCAGCCGTCGCCTCCAGACTCAGATCGATGAACACACGGCTCAGCTCTTCGCCGCCCAGACCAGGCTTGATCGCCACGATTCCGACATCGAGTCCCTTCGGGATCAGGTCGCCGAGCTCCGCAAGCAGCTCGCCCTTGCCGCTGCCGCCCCGCGTGACGAGCAACCCCCTCCGACGTCATTCGAGCGCGCCGAGGACGCCACCATCGTCGTTGCCGTTGCCCAGAAGCCCACCTCTCCAGCCCTGGCTCGAGGGCCTCAACTTCTCCAGCGAGGACTATTCCATCGTACTACGTGGTGCTGCTCCTGCCCGCCGATTCGAGGTGCAGTTCAAGGGTCCAGCTGGCGCAGCCGCTCGCAAGGCCCGCACTGCCGTCTCTAGTCTTCGTGACCAATCGGGGTGGAAAGAGTTTTGGGTCACTCCTCCCGGTGCTGAGAGGTGCAGGCTCCACCTGGGTCCGACAAGTCCCCCAAGCGCATCAAGCTGGATATCACCCACCGCAAGGTTCGGCAAGCGGTTGAACTCCAGTACCCAGGCAGGAGTCTCTTCTCCGACAAGGAGCGTGGAGTCCTCTCTCTCGGGTGGGACAAGTTCATGCAGCTCCAGGTGGCTCATGGGGACACGCCGCCCAAGCTCTTTTGGGACACCCCCGTTCTCAGCAATCACGGCATGGACGAGGAGGCTCTCCGCGCCGCCTGCCGCGACATCACGCACCAGTCGGATCCGTCCCAGTGGTCTCTTTAGCGCTTCCGTCCTGCTCGCTCCCAGCTCTGTCTCGACCGAGATTCCCACTCTGCGGTTGGCCACGCGGAACGCTAGAGCCCTGCTGCAGGCCGGGGGTGACAAGGCCCGCATCAAGAAGGCTTACTTGAGCAGTATCCGCCCAAGAAGCACTATCATCGCTCTCCAGGAGATCCACCAGGATCACCGCCAGCTCGTCTCGTTCATTGCGGCCATCGCGAATGACATCTCCGTCTACTCCAGTTTCGATCAGGACCCTGTGACGGGTCATACTTGCGGTGGCGTGGCTATGTTGGTTTCTCCTCTTGCGGGCTCCAGCGGGGTGTTTCCGACTACAGCGCAGAGGGTGCTCATTCCTGGGCGTGCGCGCGTAGTCACTATCTCATCGGCTTCTCACTCGGTTGACATACTCAACATCCTTAACCGCGAGCTCTCCCACGCCGACATCCGCCATGCTGTTGAGGCTATTAAGGCCTCACGACTTCGTGCGCAGGAGGGCCCCGACATGTACGCCACCTTCGTGCTGGGCGACTTCAATTTTGCCGTGCACGACGCGCTGGCGCTTGCGCTCCCCGTCGCAGCCGTCCGTCGCGGTGACAGGCGGCACCATGGACAGGAGCCTCGCTGGCGGGAGGCGCTCGCGCGCCTCGCCGAGGTCGCGTGCGAGGACCCCTCGCACTTTGAACAATCACCAGGCTCGTGCTCATCCATCGATCGCATCTCCTGTTCGCTCTCGGGATGGCAGATGTGTCAAGTTCACTCGCAGGTCAGCACTATTGGTACTCCCGAGGCCTTGTCCGCGCGCAGGGTCTCGGACCACGCAGCTGTTCTTCTCACAATGTCCTCTCGTGCTGCTCGCCCTCCCAGACCAGGCCCAATTTGGCGTTCCTGAATTTCGGCGTCGTCTGGAAGGCCTCTGTAGCGCGGTGCATTGGGAAGCGTTGTCACCCCCTGTCAAGCTGGAGAAATACAAAGAGCTCATGAAGATCGCCGCCGCCGAGACCAGGGACACCCTCTTCCGTCACCGCCCCCATCATCCAACTACGCGCGTGCATCTCGCTCGGTCGCTCGCAAGGGTTGTTTGGTGCCAGGGCCGCTCACTTGCTGCTCGCCTCCTGGATTCCCACCCGCTCGCGGGTGACTACGTCGCTATGGCGTCGGGGCGAGCCGAGCTTCGCCATCTTCCGTCGTTCCAGGCCTGGGTCGACCAGGTCCAGTGCGAGGCAGCCGAGATCGCACGAAGAAGTTTGGAGGCCACTCGCCGTCGGGATGGGGATCGATTTCAGACTCGCTGCCAGCTTCGGGCTTTGGAGCGGCGGGCTCGCTTGTGGTCGCCGTTGAATCTCCGCGTCTCGCTGTCGGGTGTCGCCGCGGCTGGCGGGGCATCGTCGCTGACCCCGATGATCGCCCCCGTGAGCTGTCTGCTTATTGGGCACCTGTGTTTCGCAAGAAGTCGCGGGATGCCGCCGCCGCTGACGTCTATCTTCGCCATCGCCTACCTACATCTCATCATGTTGTGCTGCCGCCGCCGACGAGGGATATGATTAGACGTGCTATTCGTTCTGCTCGCCACTCGGCCCCTGGCCCAGATGCCCTCCCTTACGCTGCGCGGGCGGCCTCACCTTTCAGTATCGACATACTCTGGGGGGCTCTCGAGTGGATCCTCAAGGGCCAGGAGCTCTTCGCCAGTTTGGGGGACGCGGTCCAGATCTTTCTTCTGTCACTGACGCCGAGCTCGCCGACCGCGCGTGCATTCGCTCTCCTGGCGAAGTTCGGGCCTAGGGGCTTCGGAATTGCGACCTCAAGGTCATCTCCGCGGTGGTCAACCACGCCACCCGGCCTGCGCTGCAGGCCCTGGCGCCCCCGTGCCAGCGCGGACGTGTTCTTGGTCGGAATTTCGGGGTCAACATCCTCGAGCTAGACGTCTCGAGCAGGAACATGTTTGTCACGCCCCATGCCTCGCGCGACATCCCTGTCCTGCTCTCCCTCGATGTCGGCCAGGCCTTCCCCTCCCTCAACCAGGACTTCCCGATGAGTTGCCTCGGCCTCCTGGGCCTCCCTGGCCCGCTCGCGCAGTTCGTCGCGTCCATCTACTCATCGATCGAGGGGGTCGCGTTGCACAGGGGCCATCTCGAGCGCGTCTTCTGGATCCAGAGTGGCATTATCCAGGGGTGCCCCCTCTCTGGTACCCTGCGCGCCCTGGGCGCGTCTGCTTTCCTCGTGGACCTGGCTGAGAAGGCGGATGGCCCCCAGCTGGGTCGTGTCCGAGCTTGTGCAGATGATATTGGCGGCGCCCTGAGATCCGCCCAGGCCCTCTCCAAGGTCTCAAGTCATGTCTTGTGCGTCGGCGATGGCTAACCTGGACCTGAAAGTCGCGAAGTGCAAGGTGGTTTCCCTCTCTGGGCCCTTCTCCGAGGCGCCGGCACGGGAGGTTCGGGGCGCCATCGAGCGGGATATTCCTGAGTGGGTCGGTTTCGAGATCACCTCGCGGCTGTTGTATCTAGGCCTTTGGCCAGGCTCCGCTGCATCCCCCGCTACCTCGTGGATTGGGCCTTTGTCGAAGCTCCGTTTGAGGGCTCAAGCGATCGGGCGCGGCACCACCCCCGCCAGTCACTCCGCCATTCTCTACAACACGCGGGCGGTCACCACGTTATCGTGCGTTGCTCAGTTCTGCTGGCCCCCGAAGTCCGTCCTCCTACCAGAGTTGTCGGTGCTCGCGCAGGTCTTCAGGCCCCCGCTCGGCGCGCTGCACTTCGACGCCGGGTCCCAGCTGGACCGCTCGGGCGGCCCCCGTTGCATTCGCTGGGGGCACCTCGCGACTGCCACCATCACGCGCGCCGCCACGCTCACCTTCCAGCGCTGGCCCCAGCTGCTGGCAGCGCTTCGTGCACATGCTGACGAACACCCGGATTGGGCCACTCTCGACATGCTCGCCACGGGCCCCCCCTACCCCAACTTCTGGAAGGCGCCCGCGTTCGTCGAGAACCTCGAGGCCGCTGCCGCTGGTCGCCCTCCTCCTGGCCCTCTGGCCGCGTGCGGCCGCACCCCGCTCGTCGCTGCGCTGCCGGCATTGGACGTCGGTGGCCGTTCTCGCCCCCGCCCGCAGCGCGCCGCGCATGCCGCACTTCGTGAAGCGTCTCTGGCAGCCCGTCCCCCCCGTGCCATTTTCACCCTGCGCCTTGCCAAGATCGCTGGCCAGCGCGCTGGGTCCCTCTGCTACGTGGACTGGGACGCTTGCCAGTCGGTACTGCGGCGGCGCCCGTGCTCGTGGGCTTGGGCGGCGATCCGCCCGTGGACTGATGGATGGATGACATCTGCCCGCATCATCTCTCCACATGGGAGACGCCCATGCGCATTCGGCTGCCCCAACAAGGGGGACACGCTCAGACACTACGCTCGATGCCCTGTCCTCTGGCCGGCCCTCCGACGCGCTCTGGCCCGCCCCTTCGCCCTCGACTTCCCGTCCAGATGGGGGCTGCGCCGCCCCTCCTGCCACTCCTACTCGGTGCTCGCTGCCGCTTACAACGTGTGCAACGAGGCTCGTCTGGTTGACCCGTGGCCGCTCTCCTCCGCGGCCATTCGGAGCTGCGCTGTGGCAGGTGCGAGGGCGATGACGCTGGCCTCCCCGCAGGCTCTCTCGACGTCCGAGAGGAGGCAGCTTGGCCGCAGAGACTGCCACATCCACTCGTCGTCGTCGAGCTCTTCTGACTCTAGTGGCTCGGCGGCATCATCCCCGAGGCTCACCCCTGCGGTGTCAAGCTCGAGTTCGACCCCGCCATCGTCTCCGCGCTCACAGCCTCAGCCGATCGCCACGCTCTCATCCTCGCCCACCGTGCTGGTCGCCTCGCCCCCCTCACCGCCACCCGCGGCTTCCGACACCGCCGATGATGGTGCGAGCACACCACGGGCTACATCTGCGTCGAGCTCCAGCAGCGCCTGTACTTCCCCATCCCAATCGCCGATCCGATCGCCAAGGGCCGAGGACCTTCCTATCGAGCGATTTGCTCCATCGATTGAGACGCCATTGGACATCTCCTCAGCCTCGCAGCGTGGCCGCCCGTCATCCCCGGCCACTCCATCCCGCCGTGCTCGTGCTCCAGCGTTGGGCTCAGTGCTACGCTGTCCTCCGTCTTCGGCTACTCCGTGCACACTTACATCTACGCCCCAGTCACTGGCGCGCTCCCCATCGACACTGACGGCGGCCCCCTCGCCCTCCATGGCTTTGAGTGCTCCGCGAATGGCGTCCTCGAGTTCGTCAAGTGCGTCGCCGACCCCGATTTCGAGCTGCACATGTGCGACGCCGTCGTCGCCAGTGACGTTGTCGACAGGATGCTCCGCAGCCTCGTCGCCCCCCAATGGCGTTTAATCGCAAGTCCCGTTGTCGTGTTCGGGCTCGCCGTCGCCTATTGCTGGATGCCTCATCTCGCCCCACCTGGGCCTTGGCGTTAGAGCGCAAGTCCCGTTGTCGTGTTCGAGCTACACGTCGCCACGTACTGGGTGCCTCGGAGGAGATCTCCTCGCTTGTGGCGTTAGAATGCAAGTCCCATTGTCGCTTTCGGGCTCGCCGTCGCCACGAGAGATCTGCCGTGATTCAGGACTGCTGTCCGTTGGCGTTAGATCGCAAGTCCCGTTGTCGTGTTCGGGCTCGCCGTCGCCGCGTGTCGGGCGAAATCCTGATGCGCTGGGGCCCCTCCGCCGCTGGACATCACTGTCGCTGCCGACCCCGCGGAGACCCTCGGCGCCGATTTCCACAGGCTCCTCGATGGCGCTCTCATCCTCAGCGGCCCCGCCGTCTGTGTTGACGCGCTCTCCCTCGACCCAAAGGACGCCGCCATCCCCGACGGCCTCCGCCCCCCCGTGGCCCTCTCCACCTGAGGCCTCTGCTGCAAAAGCCCCGTCATTGTCACCCTCGCCCCCCCCTGTCCATCGCTCCGATGACCTTTGCGCCTGCTGCTGCCTGCCCCCCGCCTGCTCCCCCTCCCTCTGCGGCGCTTCACCTCCAGCGTCCTGCGCACGTCGCGTCTATCAATCCCACGGCGCAGTGTCATCTCATGGAGTTTTCTACTTTTTCTTCCTTCGCCCCGTCCTTCGCTCCGTTGGGCTCTGCCCTTGCCGCTGCCTACCCCCCGCCTGCCCCCCCCCCCCTCCCTCCGCGTCTGAGCCATCGCTGTTTCCCGCCCTCACCCCCTCTCTCGCTCCGTTGATGTGCTCTGCGCCTGCTTTTGCTTGCCCCCCGCCTGTTCCTTCTCCCAATGCGTCGCATCACCTACAGTATCGTTCCGCTCAGCCTGTTGTTGCTCGGTGTGCCACCGTCGCTGGCGCTATTTACCCAGCCTGGCCATGCGCCTTCCCTTCGCCCGTGCGCCCGTCGCCTCGCACCCCCGCGCCGTGCACCCTGGTTCCTGCTTCGCCCGTCGCACCACCTGGCACCGTTTTCCTCGGATCTCCCCCCTCCTGTCCTTCGCTCCTGAGCGCTGCCCATGCTGTTGCCTGCGCCTCCCCCGCTCCTCTCCCGCACCGCCATCGCGTCGCGTATCTCGATACGAGACCCTGCTCCCCCCCCCCCCCCCCCCCCCCCGAAATATAAAGCGGCTCCGCCGACGAACGTCGCGTCGCTGGGAGCGCTGCCCATCAACTTCAACACTCGAGGCGCGCCCTCGCCGCCCGCAGAGGCGCCCTAGCTGCCGCCGCTCTGCCAGACAGACCTGGTACGCTGGGCTCCTCCTCCTTCTCCTCCTCCTCCTCCTCCTCCACCTCCACCTCCACCTCCACCTCCTCCTCCCAGCCTCGTGTTTTTTCCTCCCCCTCCTCCTCCTCCTCCTCCTTTTCCTCCTCCTCCTCCTCCTTCCCTTCCTCCTCCTCCTCCTCCTCCTCCTCTTCCTTCTCTTCTCTCCCTCCTCCTCCTCCTCCTCCTCCTCCTCCGTAGCCATTTTGGCTCAAGTCCCATGCTGCTGCGGGCCGAGCCCGCATTGGCACTCTCGGATACCGCTGGCCCGCGGCGAGCAAGGCCCTTGTGCCTGGCAGTCTTTTGCTTGTGCCTCTTCCGTGGGAGTTGGGCCCCCACGCCGCAGTCGCCCGTCGCTCCGTGCACTCTCGGCATGGCTGATGACGCTCACGGCGCAGAGGTTCCCGCGTCGTTGGTCGAGCAGTTCGATCTCGCGGCGACCTTCCCCTCGCAGGAGCTGGGCGCTGGCCGCGGGAAAGGTGGCAAAGGAGCTGTGCCGCCCCCTCGCAAGCGTGCTGCTCATGACCATTCTGCTGCAGAAGGAGCCGACGGGACCGACGCCCGGTCTTCCGATGACTACCTTCGCCAGTTGTGCCGCGACGAGTTCGATTCCATGCGGGCCGTTCTCGCTTCGGCCGTCTCCGAGTCCATCAGGGCCACCGTGGCAGAGAACCACGCGGCGCTGCTGGGGTCCATCGACAAGCTTCGGGGGCAGGTCTCTGGTCAGTCCGCGGCAATCGACCAACAGGTGCAGAGCGTGGTGCGCCCCCAGGTTGATGCCCTTTCTCGCAGGCTCCAGTCGCAGATTGACGAGCACAAGAAGCAGATCGATGCATGTGAACGGCGGCTTGGGGATCACGACGACCAGCTCTCGGCTCTTCGTGCTGAACTGGTTGAGCTTCGCCGTCATCTCGCTGTTGCAGAACAGCGCCCTCAGGCTCCTCCGCAGATCCCCACAGGCTTCGACAGGGACGCCGACGCCACCCTCCTCATCGCAGTGGCCCAGCGTGCCACCTCTATCGAGGCGATGTCCGCCTGCCTTCAGAGCTTCCTCTCGGACGCCGGGTTCGACGCCGGCGAGTGCGAAATCGTTTCCAAGGGCACCCTCCCGTGCAAGCGCTTCGCAGTTCACTTCAAGGGGATGGTGCAACCGGCATCGAGAAAGGTCCTGCGTGCTCTCTCAGCCCTCAAGGACGAGAACGGGTGGACAGCCTTTTTCGCCGACCCCCCTGGCACTTCCGAGCGCACTCGCGTTCGCATGGGCCCCGACAAGTCGCCGAAGCAGGTCAAGATGGAATACGTCCTTAGGAAGTGCCGCGCCGCCTTCGCCACCGAGTACTCGTCGCTGCGTTTCTTCACGGATCGGGACCGCGGGTTCCTCTCCATCGGCTGGGACAAGATTCTCAAGGTCGAGGTGGAGGCTGGGGATGCTCCTCTTACTTTGCGTTGGGACGTCGCCAAGCTGGGGCGCCACGACATCACCAAGGCCCGCGCCATGCAGCTCACCTCTTTCCTCACGGCCTCTGCGGACGAGCCCGTGTGGTGTCTTTGACGCGCTGTCTCTGTTTTCGTCTTCGCGGTCCTGTTCCTCGGGTTCGACCACTGCCCTGCGAGTGGCTACTTGGAACTGCAGGGCCCTTCTTCAGGCTGCGGGGGCCAAAGCAGCCATCGAGCTTAACTACCTCTCCAAGCTCGGCCTCGACAAGTCCATCGTCTCTTTGCAGGAGGTGCACCAAGACGCCCTCCAGCTGGAACACTTCGTGCATCGTGTGTGCCCGCGGTCCACCGTTCTTTCGAGCTTCTGTGGTCCTGAGCCTGCTGATCGTGCACGCGGTGGCGTCGCAGTCTTGATCCCTCCTCTCGAGCATCTACCTGAGGATCCTGTGCGAGTGGAGCCCCATCCTCTGGTCCCAGGCCGCGTGCTGATGGTCGCCCTGCGTGCGACTCGCGCTTGCGTCTACCTCTTCAACGTCCACAATCACGAGCTGGGGGCCGCCGCCGTCGCAAAAGTTCGTGATGCAGTACGTGCCGCTCTCGCTGAGGCTCGAGCCGAGCCGCTGCGTGTCCTGGTGATTCTGAATGGGGACTTCAATATCTCTGAGGAGTCCGCAATGTCTCTGCTGGCACCTGTTGCTGCTTCTCGTCGTGGTGGCCGTCGGCACCATGCAGCCGCGCCTTCCTGGAGACCCATCTTCGACGACATGCTTGAGGTCCAGGGCAGCGAGCCGACCCACTTCGAGCGGGCAGCGGGCAAGGCCAGCATCTTGGATCGCGTCTTTCTCTCCTTGCAGGGCTGGCAGGTGTGCCAGATGAATCTTACTTCCGCCACTATGGGGTCTGCGGCGGCGCTCTCGGATGCGAAAATCTCTGATCACACTGCGGTCATCGTCTCTCTTGCTTCCCGTTCTGCTCGTCGGCCTGCTGCTCGCCCTATCCCACGCCGCCTCTGTCGCGATCCTCGCTTCGTTCGCCGTCTACGTGGATTGGTGGCCTCTACCTCATGGGACGGCATGTCGCCACCTTTCAAGCTAGAGCATTACAAACATCTCATGCGTCTTGCTGCGTCAGAGGTGCG